TTACATACATGAAACTACTTATCAAGAAATGCATAACAGTAAAACAGCTGCTAATATTCTATAGAGAGGCAGTTAAAAAATATAAACGACAACAAGATTTAGCGGCTTTCAAAATTCAGGCTTAAAAATCTGGAAAGTCGTTAAGCTGATCGATTTACCCATTGAAAAGATAAAAAGAGATAAAAGCAAACTCATTTTGGCTGTCGATACATACAAACTTAAAACGTTTAATAGAACTTAGGTAAATTTAATTCTTGAAGAATTAGACCGGAATAAAAGAAATTCTGGAAATCATTTTACCATGGAAAGATATTTCCCAATTTTAGCACAATACAAGACTAAAAACAAATTCCCCGATTACAAACAATGTATAGCACAGATGAAGTGCAGTAAAATATGATTAAAGTAGTAATCTGTTTTACACTACTTGCACTTAAATAACTGAATGGAATTACAAACGTTTTATGATATAGCTAGCTTACTGCACCTAGCTTGAATCTTGGTGAAGAGAGTGATTACTTTTCCCATCTGGACAACATTGAATACTAGTCATTTCCCCTAAAAAGTAACTCTACTTTTAAAATAAATTGCTATAAATTTTTCTTCTACCAAACTATATTTTCAAAAGATTGAAAGATACTTTTTTATATTCTTAAACCAAATTCTTATATTATGCTAGAATTTTAGTCCTTTTTATTATAATCCTGTGATACATGATTGAGGCTTAGGTTCATTTTATTTATTGTTTCAAAATCCTTATTTGAAGAAACAATTGTTAATTCTCTCTTAAATATGTCATCTCATTAAAAAAAGATCTGCAGACTAACCTTGGTAAGTATAGGACCGCTTTTGAGAAGCTTGCAGGTTTTCTATTGTGTACGTTAGAATGTGATGGTGGGAAACAATTCCTACTGCTCCCATTAATGGATTCTACAGCCACAGGGCCTCACCATGTGGCAGATTCTGATGAAACTGCTTATGGAAAGGTATACCTGGATGAAATATGGGAATAGCTGTTTATCAAGGTTATTTATAATCTCGATTATTTCAGTGCTATGAATCACATCAAAAAAATTAACTGAGATTTAAATTTGTCAGTTAAACAAGACAATGTGTTTGATCTAATCAAACTGGCTAAGGAGTGATGGAAGCTCCTGCTGTTAATGGAAAAAAAGCTGAAAGAATGCTGCGATATGTTAAAAGAAAGCATGAATTTTTAGTACCCGTAATATTAGGTATGCAAATTGTACTACTTTTGATGTATTTCATGAAAAAATTACTTGATATGTTAAACACAGAAATTCTAATGTTTCTTGTCATCCTGGTACCAATAAAATTCTGTATTATGATCAGTATAGAAATTAATTTCGTTAAACGCTGTAACGGTTTTAAAAAAGTTGACAAAAGAACTGTAAACTCTCAAAACCCTAACAAATTGATTTTGCCCCCCCCAAAGGCTAGGCCATCTAAAATTGTGGAACAGAATGTTAAATCCAAATTCATAATAAATTTTATACTCTGTCACCAAATAATAATGATGTTGACACTAATGCAAATAGTATGTGTAATGTTGTTAATGACAAGTTGGAAGAAATTTATATGGATACCCAGAATGGATTGAGTAATGACTGTACACCTATTCGACCTCCAAGAATAAAGCCAATAATGGTTAAACCTAAAAAATTCTCACACTTCATTAAAATTCTGAGAAATGATATGAAACTAAATTCTGTTGGTAGAGTCAGTATTGAGTTCCTTCAAAAATGTTTCTAAAAGCTGAGGATGCTCACAGAGATATTATTCATTACCTTACCTTGACTAATGAAGAATGGATCATTATGTCACAACAAACTAATTCCAAAGGTCAATTAAGGTCATGTTCAGAGGTCTTTCTATGGACTTGTAAACAAAAGTTCTAGGGTTAAAAAAAGTCACACAGATGCTTAAAAAAAAATGCTCCCATGCCCTTATTCAAAATTCAGCTCCCATGCAAATTGAAGACTGAACACATCTGAAATTTAAATCTTTTGCATTTTCATATATCTGTTACTGCATACAAAGTAGAAGGTAGCAGTGTGCAGTATCATAATACTTTAATCATTCTTTGGAAACTTGTTGTTTGAAGTGCATGTGCATGAAATGCACTCAGACACAAAAATTCAGACTGTCGTGCCAAGCAATTAGATACAGCCAAATGTAAATACCTCCAATCTAGTCACACTACCAGTTACCATGGTTGTTCTAAATTTCCTTCAAATAATCTGTCCAAAAGCAACAAAGCAAAGAAGCCTAAAGACAATAGCATCCTCACTGATAACAGTGGATTAAGCAAATTCTCCATTGTTACACCAGATGTGCCAGGTGCAAGTGCAGTATGAAATAACTGTGTTAACATCATGAATCAGTCTGGTGATTCCAGACTTGGTGACACTGCTACATTGTCATGCTCTTACAAGAGCTCAATAGTATGTTCATAAGGTTGCCAATGGTAAAATCTTCTTCAAGAAAATTTCAGCAAAAATACCAATGCTCCAAGCCACAGAACAAGCTATATACAAACTTTTTACACTGTTTGCAATTTCTCAGCTCCACTTAAACTGTAAACAGCAGTTAATAATGTGTCTAAATCTTTTGTAAACTACAATGGCTACCTTCAATAAAAAGTCTATTTTTAAGATCTGTCAACAAGACTAGTACAATAATGTGCACAGCAAATGGCTGAATGCCATTTGTATATTATTTCTGTACAAAGAAGATTATTTCTTGTAAGAATAGAAAATCCTTTTGTATTCTTGTAATGTATTAGTACTTCCACTGTTGACTGTTTTGCATTTATGGAACTTTGTATATGTAAGAGTTAACATGCAACAACAGATCACACTTACCTTATGCCTTATACTAGGGGTCTCCAAACTTTGCAGCCTTAGGGTCATACTTGATTACTCAAGTAAGTTCTAAGGGCCAAAACAGTTTCAATTTTCTAGATACGTATTAGTCAAAAGTGGAAATAGGTAGTACCCTCTATACACTAACTACTAATACATGGCACTCGTATTTCTTCCAAGAGCAAAGTATAACAAACATTCTATAAAATATACAACTGAAGGTCAACCTAAGTTGAGAACACTAGATATAGGAGTAAGTATATGTGTTCGCCGTAAAATACAGTTCTACGATTTCGAGAAGTAATATTGTAAAAAATTATGCTGTGAAATATGAATACTGTTGAACAAAGAGAACGCAAGTACCATTTCCCTAAACCCAAAGTGTCAAGAATGCAGTTTGTACTAGGAAGGATGATGTAGTTAACTTCTCATTAATTTTTACATTTTTAATAATAATAAATGTTACAAATATTAATCTATGGAAATACAGAACATGGCATTTAAAATTAAAGCATAATTTAAGATAGTACATTAAAAATATTTAAAATATAAAACTAAATAATAATGAAATGAAAAGAGTGTCTAAAATAAAAAATATACAGTCAAAAGTTGTTAATCCGGACTCGTCGGGACTTCGGCGATTCCGGATTATCGATTTTTCCAGATTATAGATCATCAGTTTAAATCTCGTAAGATGGCACGCAGAAATTCTAAAATTAAAAATATGAAACCGTAATTTATGAAATAAAGAACAATTATGATCTAAAAGGTATCAAAATTAACAAAAAAAAAAAAAAAAAAAAAAAAAAAAAAAAGCTTAATATTTATTTGTTTACTTTATTAAACATTTCTTTCAATGTAAGTTGTTTAAGTTGCTTCGTTTTATGTGATAATACTTTCTCTTTAATTCTATAAACAGACATAATTTCTTGTTCAGTTACAAAGTTCCGCTGTTCAAGTCCCGTAATTGCTGTGCCGAGAATACCGACTAACTTGTCAATCGAAATTTTTTTGTTTTCACTAACCTCTCTGTCACCTTCTTCATATCTTTATCCATTTTTTGCAGCAATTACACTATTTGTTTGATGGACATCGAAACATACTTTCGTTTTGTTGATCCTTTGGGAGCTCCAGCATCGGAAATTCTATTTGACATAATCGAAAGTTCAAGTTTACTTTTATAAAATTGCTCTTACAGTCTGCAAAAAATAACAAGCCGGATCCAATTCGAAGATTAATCATCATCAACATTAACTGAAATAGATAATTAGATAATTTTAGCTTATACCTTACGTTATACATAAAACGCGCACGCGAAAACGTATTCTGCGCTTGCGCATACACATATGTGCAGTTGTAAAGGTCTTACGCGCATGCGTAAACGCCTATGCGCATGTGTCAACGCGGCGCATGCGCAGAAAGTTTTTAGCTTTGAGGTCCGGATTATAGATCATTCTGGATTATGGGTGTCTGAATTAACGACTTTTGACTGTACATGTAAAGCATACTGCAGGATAAAAATTTTAAGAAATAAATAATAGCAAGAATTAATTCTAAACAGAAGATTTATTTATTGCACTTTACTGGCATTAGAGTTGGACCGATTCTCTGCGAATGAATTTCAGTTATGCTCTGCACATTTACTTCACCCGCAGATAGTCGGAACTCAGTCACCTCAGGTACTTGAACTTGGTTTAACATTGCTCAAGGAGTCTACCTTCTTCTCTTCACATTCTTTGATCACCAATGCCTCAGTCATTAGAAGCTGACTTCACCTAATGAAGCCATCTACAAAAACTTTAATTTTACTAATGTTTAAGTATGGTTTCACATGTCAACCTAGAACACTAATTACTTTTTAACTTTATTCTAACTGTGTGTACGTACTAATTTTTCAATTTCAAGAATAATTATCAGAAAATAATGTGTATTTACTTAAAAAAGTCCTTTTTTAAAAAATAATAAATATAAATCAACAGTCACTTAGTTAACACATATAATACTTACAATGTCAGTTAATTATTCTTATAAGTACATATTACAGAAATCTAATTGCATCCAATTACAAACATAGTAAGCATAATTTTTCTTAACTGTTAGATGATGCAGAATTACCTTGGAAAACATTCTTATGGTTGCGTAAAAATGTTTGTAGACCACCGCATTGGCTTTTCATTCCCTTCAGTATCTTAGAATCCAAAGATATAGCCAAATCTTTAATGCTAATTTGTCCTATATTAATTAAAAATTTTCTACTTTGTAAAGTATACTCTTTAATACATATAATGCAATCAAGGAAATTAACAGCGGGCTATTTACTCAATAAAAAATACAGTAAAACTCGTAATTTGAGAACACCTTTGGGATTTTAGATGTCCCCTAATGAGCGGTTATCATCAAAACTTGTACCTTTTTAATTTATAATTATACTTATTGAAATACATTTTTATTAATATAAAAAATATGTTACCAGTTTTAAAATTTATTTAACATATTAAAATTCACAGTGATTAATATTCATTAATAATAAATATACCTCCATGTTTTCATTACAAACAGTAAGTGATATTTTTCTGCTGGCAATCTGAATTTAAAATGCGATTTTCAAAGCAAACTTGAAAACTCAGAAACCAAAACTCTCATAATCATTAAGATGAGAGGAAAACTTTTAACACATTATATGCTTCAGCAGAACTCTGCATTAGACCTAAATTAGTGAATTTTCCTTAATTTTCATTATCTAATATTTCTTTTTCACAAACATTATGTTAAGCATCAAGTCTGCTTTGTATATTTTGCAGTTTAACCTGTGATATCCAGTTTCATCAATATGCTGGCGTTAAATTGTACATTGTCAGCCAACAGTTACTGTCATCGCCTGAATGAGAAATATAGTGGCATGACATTTAACATGTTAATATAGCAAATGCTACATTTACTCAACAAAAAATGCAGAATTACCTTGGGTACCTTTATTTAAAAGGAAGGTGTAAATGTTTTTAAATTTGAACTATTATTCATTCCTTTAAATACATTCTGAGAAAAACAGTCTCAATATTCATTAGGTTAAAATACTTCATTTCTTAATATCATTTTTATCTTTTTATTACATACAGATGTATTTTTAAAAACTGATATTCTTAAATTTCTGTATTCTCAAACTCATTCTTCATTAAATGTAGGTACCAAATTCTGTTTTAATTAAAAACTTTTAGTATGCCAAGGAAAGGATTTTTTCTTGCCCATCTCTAAAAAAAAATTGCAAGGTTCCTTTTGATTTCCTTAGTGATGAAATTTTTCAAAATCTTTCTTCAGGGGACACCCAAGTTTTACAAACAATGCACGTTCCAAATTCCATGTTTCTAGCTGTAATCATTTAAGCTATTTTATGATCAGTCAGACAATCAAAACTTTACCCATCAAACATTAAAATTCAATTTTTTAATATAAATGTTTTGGGAGTACTTCAAATAAGTTTTTTAATAAAAAGTTTATGATAGCTAAAAAGCCACAAGAATTAAATCTTTGAAGTTATGGGCCATATGTCATATCTTCCTGTGGCAATGACTAAGAATGCCAGAATAAAGCCTGTATTACTGACATAGTACTGCAGGATAAAAAGATAGTTTTCAATTCAAGTTCCAAATCTGGATGATGATATATTGCCAATAAATAAAAATAAACACTACCCTCCAAAAGTTAAGAAACAGCATATTTTTTTGTGTCTAATTTGAAAATAAAGCAACATAGAAACAAGAAATTTAGGGGATATGTTCATTAAACAGTTCTTTAATGAAAGCAGTATAGAATGTTTCTAACATGAACACAAACATGAATTACAACAAAATATTGCACTCTTGGCAGGAAAATCCAGTCTTGGAGAAACAGTACATCAGTTTTTTTTAAATGAAAAATGTGGTGGTAACATTACAAAGATGGGTTCTAATAAGGAATGTGTCCACCCTAAGCTGCAATACAGGATGATTCATAAAGAAGTATACAGTTTTAATGCATTATAAATAAAGAACAATATAATATATTATATGTTACCAGCAACAGAAAGGTATAGGATTATTTTAAGTTTTGTTAGGCTGCTATCACATGTCAGTTTATTTCAGAAGAACAACTGTTTGGAACAATTTTTCTACTTTGTCACAACAGCCAATCACCATAGATCGCTTTGAGGTTAACACAAGGGAAACTGATTCCCCATTACAAACAAGCTGATAGCTGATTGGTTTAAAACAAACAACATGCAATTTTTTTGGAAAGGAAGGAAAAGGTTGCACGCTTTTATTTCAATAGTAAACCAGGCAGAAAAATTGTCCGAAACAGTTGTTCTTGTGAAACAAATGGCATATGATATAGAGACACTCAGAGATGTTTTATTATGTGAACCCATAGTCACACGACATGATGCAAACTCTATCGGCATTTTCTTGGGATACCCTCGTACAGTTGATGGTCCACGACATTTATTTTTGCACAAACAGCTCATAGTTTTAAAATTTTCATGCCACTGATAGACAGATTTTCTAGTTGAAGGTTCTCTTCCGAATTGTGATCAGAAATGCAGTTGCGGATTCCATTTTGCTAAATTCAAGAACAAAAAAAGCCTTCTTCACTGCAGACGTCGCCATTTTGACTGACTAGTCACACGACATGCACGTTATTGCTTATGTCACTTTCATCAGGGGCTAGACACAATCTTTAAGGGTATGTCTACCTTGTGGTTTATTGAGGTGATGCGTGTCTTTGACTGTCACTGTTTTACAGCATTTGGAAAGTGTATACTTCTTTATGAATAACCCTGTACAGTGGCAGCAGTGATGCTGTTAATTAATTTAGTCACTGAAATGGGAAGCAACGACCAGACTCCACTAAGTTTGCTACACATGTATTGAAGGACAAATGGTGGTCAAAAGGTGGACAAGAAGCATTCAGATTTGGAATTCCAATGGTGTGGTACCAGCCATGAAATCACAGCAATGATTGCTACTTTTGTTCCTACTGGTGTTCATGGTTTCATTATGAAGAATAAACATAGAACTATCCATTCAAATGTGCCATCTGCTTTTTTCCCAGTTCCTCGTGGTTTAGATGTACTATATATATAATTAAAAAAAATAATTAATCATAGAATTATTAACTATTCTACCAGAAAATTTACAGGAAATAAATGGTTCTGCAAGTGATTTAAATGAAGATAACATTGAGGAGTATGAACCTAGCAAGACTTGTAACATCAAAGGGTTTTCAAAATCTGAACTAAATGATATGGTTTGAGACTTGCATTGACCAAAGAAAATTCAGAACTGTTTGGCTCGAGGTTTGAACAGAAGAATCTACTTGCAGCTGTCCTTTTATTTTCTTCCTTCAGGTACAGAGAAGAGGATTTTCTTATATATATTTCAAAATAAGGAAACTGTCACATACACGGATGTACATGGGCTTCTGAAGCAATTCAGCACACCATACAAAGTACCGACTGGAGACTGTCCATAGGTTTGTCCAAAAGAAGACTTGTAGTTGTCCTTCTAAACAATGGGAATACCTATGCATCAATACCCATCAGACATTCTGTCTATTTAAAATAGTATTAAAGATTTGGAATTCAATCTCGATGAAATTAAATACGAAGATCATACATTATATGCAGTGATCTCAAAATAATATCGATGCTCGAGGCCCATATCACACGGCGTTTGTTTCACATGAACAACTGTTTGGACAAATTTCCGCCTGGTTCACTATTGAAAGAAAGACTTGCGACTTTTTCCTTCCTTTCCAAAAAAATTGCAAGTTGTTTGTTTTCAACCAATCAGCTATCAGCTTGTTTGTAACAGGGAACCAGTTTCCCTTGTGTTAATCCCAAAGCGATCTATGGTGATTGGCTGTTGTGAGAAAGCAAAAAAATTGTTCCAAAAAGTTGCTTTTAAACAAACCTACGTGTGATAGCAGCTTAAGACAGCATGGAGGATATAAAGTTTCCTTGTTTTTGTGTGAATGGAATAGTAAAGACAAAATAATAGATTACAAAAGGGGATTTAATACAAAAAGGGATTTATTAGAACCTGGAACCAAAAATGTGCACCTGAAAGCTCTTAAAGATCTGAATAAAGTTCTTCCACCTCTGACTATCAAATTAGGCTAGAGGAAGCAATTTGTCAAAGCCTTACCAAAAGAGGTCAATGTTTTAAATACACCTGCGATAAATTTTCAGCTTTATCAACTGCCACTTTAATGGTCCTGACATTATGAAACTTCTCAAAGGTGGTCATTTAAGAAACAAACGGAAGATACAGAAAAGCCTGGGGAGCCTTTAAAGACATAGTAACCATGTTTCTGGGCTGTGAAAAGATCTGAACTTCAAATTAATTGAGAAAATGCTACAGAAGTGCCAAAATTTAATCTGTCCAATGAGCTTAAACATTTATTTCCTAAATTCACATTTGAACTGTTTTCCTAAAAATCTGGGTGCCATTACCAAAGAGATAGATGAAGGAGTTCGAGACATCAAATGGACTACTTTGATGATGGCAGAATATTGCTGGATGTTATACCAAGATGAACCCCATCAAAAACAAAAATGGAACAGCACAAAACACAGCAAGCAGTCCACAGAAACTTCCAACACACGAAATAAAATTATGTATCTTAGATACATTGTCTCAGTATAAGATGGAAAAAAAAAAAAAGAATATATTATAAGGAAAAAACATTTAAATCTATTTTAAAGCTTCATATTTTTGCAATTTTTCAACTTTTTACAAATTTTGAAAGTTTTCATTTCTGAAAAACCATGATGTGATGGGGAAAATTGACATCTTTTTCAGATTCAGGGCTAAAAAATACACAGGAGTCAATTAATTTAAGTTACAAAACAAGACACGACCTAAATTTTGCAGGCTTGTGTTATTTTAACAAAGCTAAATTCTTAAAGCAGCAAAATTAAGTCACAAGTGGTTTCTCTTTTGCTCCAGTCATATTAACACAGCATTACATAGTTAACTGGTCTTTGACAGTTTTTCCAGCTGCTTTTAAACAGAAATTTTTCTGAAAGTACACAAATTTAGCTATTTCATTAGAATTATAGATATCAAAATATTGTCCTACTAGTGAACTAATTTGTTCACCAGACATATGTAGATTCACAGGAAAGCACCTTTTTCACTTTCATTGGATTCCTTCAATATTTTTTTTCCCCTTTTTCCTGTGAAATATTTTCTATT